TATGTACTGAACACTGTGCTAGGCAGATTTTAAAATTATACTGCGTTTCGGCTATTAGATTGGCAAAGATTAAAATGAGTTGTAATACTCAGTGTTGACAAAAGTGTGGGCAAACTGGCACTTTTATATTCTTGTGCAAGTATAATTTTGTATAGCCTTTCTAGAGCTCAGTTTGGCAATATATTGAAAAATCCTTAAAAAATATATATTCTTTGATTTCACAAATTCTGTTTCTAGGAATGTTCTCTAAAGAAATAATTGGATAAGGACACAAAGATACTCATTACAAACATCTGTCATAGCATAAGTATGGAAATGGAATAGCCTATGTGTTCATTATTAGGGGATTATTATGGGATTGGCTAAATAAATAATGATGCTATTAAAAGCAGACAAAAATTTTTCTGAAGGGTGTCTTCATAGTTTATTTATTTGTGAACATGATACTCAACAATGTCCTTTCAGTAGACACACAGAGCAATAAACAGTAAAAGATAAAGCTAGGTTAGAATCCAGCCACTACAGAAGCCTGGGTAAACAACCAAGCCTGTATTCTTTCCTCTCTACTTGGCTTGCATAAGTTGAGTAAAAGGAGCTTTGAGTTGGATAAAATCAACTAGAGAAAACTATCTGAAGAAAATTACTTTTTTTTTTTTTTTAAACGTGGGCACTTGGAATGGCAGCATACCATACAGAGATGGCATGATGGTTTCTATGAAGGAAGGCAACAAATACACTCTCTGTGTGTGTTCTGTCAGTCTCAGATACTTGAATGCATCTGCAAATAGTTTGGAGTCTTTACCATCTGCCTGCACCGGGGAGGAGAGCCTGAGTATGCTGCAGCTGCTTTATTTGACCAACAATCTCCTGACAGATCAGTGTATACCTGTCCTGGTTGGACACCCTCACCTGCGAATCTTGCACCTTGCAAACAACCAGCTACAGACCTTTCCTGCAAGGTAAAATGAATGCAAATTTTGATTGTTTCAGATATGCAACATTAATTCTACATTTGTCAGACTAAATTATAGCTATCTGACTATGACTGTTGCTTTTTGTTGACCTGACTTACTGCTGATGCTGTGATTTCACAGTTGAGTGGGAAAATCTTAATAGTTTATACCCAGTTAAGTATCAGTAACCAGAGAAATCATGGTTAAAATGTATTTAATTTT